CCCCCCCGCCACCCGCGGGGCGTGCGGTTTTTTGCTGCCGTAGGGTGGGCTCGGCTGGGGGGCTTGCGCCGCTGCCGCGGGTACCTCGGCCCCGAAGGGAGTGCAGTAGGAGGCGGAGGGGGCCGCCAGGCGCACGAACGACCCGGCACGCACGGCGGCCCCAGCCATGCTGCAGGAGGCGTCTGGGAAGCAGCCTTCTGCAGGAGAAGAAAAAGGCGGGCAGGAGGCTGGGCGGGGGGAGGTCGCTCCGCCCCGCGAGGGAAGGGCCTAGCTCGATGCCCCCGGCCCGCGGGTTAGTCGCCCCCCCTTGCAGCTGTTTCTATTGTAGCCTGAGCTTGTCATACAGTAGTAGTTTCTTAGAACTCTGTCTTCCCTCGCTCCCACCCCCAGCTCAGCTATTTGGAAATAATTGCCAGAGATCCAGTGGATGCATTTTCCCCTGGAAAAGGATATATGGGATCGCGATCTAAGGCGTCGGATCTTAAACACAGTAAAGAAAAGCGGCGGAAGGTGAGGATGGTGGGGGCAGCTGCCACGGGGCTTCCCCGTCATTTGGTTCTTCCTGCAGCGTCAGGTTTACAAATCTGGAGGGTTCGCGGGGAGGGCACTCCGTCGCCGAATCCGAATCGTGAGCCGGTAACCAGCCATATTTTAGTCCAGGAATCCAGCCAGCCCGTGTGACCAGTTCATGGCTTACCCAGAACATTGGATTGAGTAAATTATGGTTAACAATGTAGCCAGGAGGTCCTTCCTGCGTCTTCTGTTCATTTTTCCTCCCATGGACTACTGAACTGTCGGGCAATGCCCTAAAGGTGGCTGAAAAAATTGACTCTCAGAGCCTATAGTCCCTTTCATTTTGTCAGAATTTCAGTCCCGTTGTTAGATTTATCCTTAAGTAGGGATCATATTCTTTCAAACAAGCAGCTGAGAGAATTGTTGAAATCGTTCTTCTGTATTATGAAGGCTAAGACGTGGTTTGAGTAAGTTACAGTGGCTGGGTTCACACAGCACAATAAGTCACAACCCAGATTATGGCTTAGTACAGTGGATGAACCTACTTTGCATTATGTATCAGGATTTTGTGCCATAAGACTCAATTTTTTTTTATCTAAAAGATTATCCTCCCCCAACAGAAGATCATGAAGGTAGTGAAATCAAATGGTGTCCTTCATCCTGGCAGGAGCAGCACATTTTAAATTTTCCTGGGTTTGCATCTAAAGTCCTGCATCACTAATGCTCTTTGAAATCTTGGGGAAAAGATCTATGGAGGCTTAAACATGTACTCTGTTTCCTCATAGTGTCACCTTCAATGCAGATATCTGGGAGAAAGACAAGAGATGGTAGTAGTGTGCAACATCAGAGGTGAAGGTAAAACGTTGACAAACACAGCCAGACCTAAGCTGGACATCGATAATCTTTACCTTATCCTTTCCTTGAACTATTTCCACTCCACCTGACCATTACAGTATACAGATTTTGTAAGAGTTAGCACCAGCATTTTACTTCCTGTCTTTCTAAACCATCTTTCTTAGAATCAGTATTGGAAGAGACAATTTCAATCCAATCTCTGCTAAGACAAACACAACTTTTAGATGTCATGAAAAGGCAGCACTTTTTACTCCCAATCCCTTTACTCCCATTAAGAAGTGCTTGTGGAATTTCCTATTTCAAGTATCATAGTTAAAGTGGATATTCTGCACCTTGACTTGGAAGGGGCACCACCTTCATTCAGTTCTATCTATTCTACATGCTCTTCCCTTCACATGGTATAAACATTAATGGTAGGCAGGCGCTACTTTTGTATCCCCACACACTCCAAAGCACCTTTTTTGGAATCAAATTGGAAGCATCACACAGCCCCGTTATACAATCCTTCATCTGAGTCACAGTGCCCCCACATGTGGCTATTTATCTCCTCTGGCTTGCTTTTGCCAATGTAAAGGATACAATGTTGCCACTATCAATGGCAGAGCACTCTTGCCATCAGCACGTCTCCAACAATAGTCAGCCAAATATTGGCAAAAACATACGTATATGCTTACTCACTGGGCTATTATGAGTTTCCCTTTAAAACTGTTTATGGAGGAAGGGAGTAGAACCACCCTGTTGTCTGTACCTCCCTTGTTTGTGTGTGGATAGCACCCTTTTGCTGCTACCGTATCTTTAGCTTAAGAACAAATCATTTTAGTTGAAGTGGGCATACAAATACATGGATTGTGCATAATTTAACGCAGATGGCTCCTGCTTTGAGTCAATCCTATTTTTAAGGGAAAAATGATCAAGTCCAGGACAGAGTTCAGTCACACAACTTGTCACGCAGTCCCATTAAGTGAAGTAAAGGATGATCTCCTACCTCTCCTAACTTAGTGATTTAGGTCTCACTCAAACCAGCTAGGACCTTATGGATAGTGTTAAACTCTCCACAGCTGGTAGTCAACGACTATTTTATTAAGCCAGAGGTTTTCAAACTTTGTGGTGTCCTGACTCCCCAGAATAAAAGCATGTACAGTCCCCTACGAATGAGGAGGAAGAAGAGAAGCATATGAACAGTTGCTGCAGCTATTGTTTGGGACTTTTTGCAGTGGACAATTCTTTATACAAACTGTTAGTTCTTCACGTGCAAATCTGGAGTCCTGTCAGAACTTGGTTTGGCTTTGCTTGGGCAAACCAGTTGTGCTTGTCTACCCTGCCTAGCGCCACCTTGTTTTCTTCCCATGTGTTTTCTCCTCCCCCCACCTCACTAGCAGCGCAGCAGCTGAGCACTCTGGGCTACCTGTGATCCACAGCACTCCTGGTCTTGTGGGCACCAACACAGAAAAGTCCAAAAAACCCTTCCTCGGCTCCTTTCCACCTCTGCTACCATGATCACCATCAAAATGTTGATTTAATATCTTTGGCTGTTTTTATGTCTTTTTAGTTTTGTGCGCTGCCCAGAGTCCACTGGAGTTGGGTGGCCAATACATTTAAATAAATAAATAAAATGTAGAGTCCTTAATACTGGACAGGGCAGGCTCAAGATCTTGGATGTCCAGGGCCTGCCCCTGACAGAGGTTGCTACTGTGGCAACAAAACAATCAGCCATAGAATGAATGGATAAATTAGCTTGCCTAGGCAGAGCAGGAGTATAGTCTGACAGGGCTCCAGCTTTGCCTGTGCATGGCAAAAAAACTTTGCAACCCTTCCCAGATTTGCTCACAAACCCCCAGGGTATCATGAACCAGTTTGAGAACTCCTGATTAAACAATACGTGACACAAGGAGCAATGGCTTTCTGTCTCTCGGAATGAATCGCAACTTTTCCCTGCTGACAATGTGTTATGAATTATCAGATTCAGGAGATAATGAAAAGCTCTCTTCTTTAAAGCAGCTGAAACATAGATAATAATGCAAATTATTCTTTAAATCCCAGTTTAAAAAATACGAATTTCTTATTATTGCATATTGAGGGATGAGGGCATACTATGCTACAGGGACTTTCTCCATTGGGAAACACAAAAGAAGCTTGATATGTTAACATTAGTTTTTTTTTAATCCAAAGGCATGATAAATTTTTTCTTATTTCTTGGCCCCTTCCTTTTACAAAATTCCCATAGATATCATTCAATTAAGAGGGGAAAGAAAATTTCACAGTATTATTTAACAATAAAACCAATGTTTGTTATCAAGCATATAGTCAATAAGGGATCAGTCAAGACTCCATCTTTAACTAAGTATACTGTACTACCCAACTGATCAGTTTTCACCAGAAGGGGGCATCAGCCAACTACACAGTCTTCACAATACTGTTCTGTCTGGCAATACTGTAATTAAACAAACAAACAAAGCCCCAAATATCTTTCTCTGCCTTTCTCCCAGTGCCTGGCACAGTCTCCTTGAAATATAGAAGGTGCTTTCAAAAAGACTTGCATCTAGGCCAAATGGGGCAGGGGAAAATATATGCATCCTGTTCCTAGCACAGAGAAAACAGCCTAGGAACTAGAGATTGACCATTATACATTTCTTTCACAATGGAATATTACTAAAGAAATTTCCTGACATTCAGATATTGCAAAAAAATAGTTTTATCTATTTCTGGCTCATTATGATCAGGGAAAAAAAACAGGAAGAGAAAGTATTTTAGCAAATATAGACACCCCCCCCCCATTTATTTCACTGAGACTTTTCCCCTTTAAGTATGTTATGTCAGTAAAAAAAAAAAAGTAGGGGGGAGAAAATATATATTATGAAACTATCATAGATGGAAAGGTGTTTGTGGAACACAGCAAATATATCAAGAATAGAATTAACAAACTATGAGAAGACACAAAAATGTCAAAGATCGTGTGACAGGAGTCTGGAAATGGCATCAGGCTATCTTGGGACAGAATTACAGGAGCTGCAATGTAAAGTATCAGGAGGGCAACTGGTGAAGAAGGGCCAGCCTAAATATTCTTTTGTTAGCATGTTAAATATGTGGGTGTGCGCGCGTGTGCGCAGGCACGCACACACACTTTAGAATTACTAACTGTTTTGATATTTCTTATGTTAGGCAATGTTTTACCCTATAGATTTATTTCCTGGATTGCAGTTAAAGAGAGTCTAGAAGCCAAGGAAATCATTCAGCTAAGGGGAACCAGGAGCTTGCCTAGCTCCCAGCTGCAAAACTACTTCCAGGAATCAGGATCTGACAACACATCTCATGGTTACCTGGAGCTAGTTTCATACCTTGATTCAACCTGTGCATTTATCAGTCAGTTGCATACTGTGTTGCAAACTACCTGTAAAACTTGTGGCAAACAGATAAGCAAAACAAAAGGAGGGTCAATGAAGAAAAAAGAGAAAGAAAAGGAAATATGGGGTAGTGAAAAAGGAGACCTCCCCACTTTCTTTCAGCCAATCAGCACTAAGCGTGTAGCCTTATTCAAGGCAGACGTTGCTGTCATTAGAATAGAGCTAAGAAAAAGGTATAGTATTAGAGGTGCTTTACAAAACAGTTCCAGAGACACATTTAGAGAGAAAGTATATCTTTGGGAATTCTTAAGGCAGTAAGGAAAAGGAGGAGGAAGGATAAACAAGCACATTCTGGCTAGAGGTTCTCTCCTTATCCAGTTTCCTTCTTGAGTGGCTGCAGGTTGCAGGTACCAAGTGTTTTCGGTTACTCAAAAGAGAGCTGGAGTCCTGTAGTCACAGAGCATCCCAAATAGCCATGAAATCCTGTACTGAATCCTGTTAGCCTCATCTCTGAAAAGAGAAGGAGGAAGGGAATTGGGGAGAAGAGAGAAAGATCAGGAAGATCCATATAATCTCATCAGTTTTTCTACTTTTTTTTTTTTTTGCTGATCATGGCATGGACTTAATTACCATGCTGTTTGACATTTATTTAACATTTGGAATAGAAAGTGTACTGTATTAATTGGCCAACATTATTACATCGTATTAAAGAGGTCAGATGTGGAGGTTTGCTTAAGGCCATGCGACCAGTTCTTAAACCTGCTGTTAGAGAGGTGGCAATTTTTGGCTTAAAAAAGCCTTTTTATCTGTAATATTCCAGTCCTCCAACCTGTGATAGCAATAATATTTGGCTGTTGTGTATATTGCCATGAGTTTTGCGACAAAAGAACTGCTCAGTTAATCAGTGTCCCAGTAATAAGAAAGTAAATGTGCTGATAGTAAAATCGTTATATTGTGAAATTACAGGTATCATCTAACATCTTAATTAGAGTGCATGTTCATCCCCCAAGAGGCTCACTGACAAAAAGAAACCAAGTGCCTCTGAATTTCATTCAGCAATGAATGAGATTCATTCTGAACATGCCACAGCAGCATTTGGAAGCCCTAAACTCCTGGTCCTGATTTAGCAGTTCTACTGAGCTTTGCTTATGGTTACAGTGACCATATATCCTTTATTATAAGGGACAGTCCTTTATTTCAGAAAGCTGTCCTTTCAAAAACTCACTTTTGTCCTTTATTTTGGTCCTTTAACTTTTACCATACAAATGGCACCACTTAATACATAGTATTTCACATTCATGTGAAAAATATGGAAACTGAATTGTTTTTTTAAAATAAGTTTACATATATTGTTTGATTTTAGATATTTTTATTAGAATATGTGTTTTTATAAAGTTTTTCTTGGTTTTGCCCTTGAATTTTCCTTTGTAAAGCAAAGTTATAAACATAAACAATGTTTTTTTTATCCTTGTGAACCTCTTTCAGATTTGCTCCTTTTTCAGGTTTGTCCTTTTATTTTTTTCCAAGAAAATATGGTCACGGTACTTATGATACACTTATGCTTATGACTATTTACCTGCCCCAGTTTCTTGTAAATCCCAGCCTGTGTGTCTTTTATTTCTAGAAAACACCATCTTTGGCTTGTGAGAAATATTTTGTTAAAAAATATGTAGCGTTTCGGAAATGCTCCAGCATGCAGACAAAAGAGTTTGTGTGCTTTGCTGAGTTGTTTTGTCTGTAATCACAATTTGCAGCTGCTTCTGCCAGGGTCATAATTCTTATCACTTGCCCGTAGCTCCCATTTCTGCAAAATAATTAGATTGCTACAGTTCTTTGATGCCTATGCACTTAAGTAAAGAATAGAAAGTGTGGTTAGAAGCAAATTTGCAAAATGTGATTTGGTATGAACACAATGCAGGCTCAGCTCAACTCTACACAAACATTGCCTACAGCTAGCGCCAAAGGAAGAGGTTGAAATACCTCTATCAGAGAAAAACAAAGAGAGAGACAAGTATGTAAGTCTGTGGAACACCCTCCATTACAGCTAGGTGGACAGTGTTACATCTATAGCAAGCTTATGAATTGGGTGGTTTTTGCTCCTCCATCATCCCACAGAGGAACTCAATTGTTCCTATTATTCTTACCGCACTACCCTTGGCTGGCCTGAGTGCCCTCCTATTGCCCCGCAACCCTTCCACTGGGTTTTCAAGAGCCTCCAGTCGATGTGTGAGTGCCAGCTTCTGCTGGATAGCCATGCGCAACAAGGAGTTTAGGGTCTTCTTTTCATCCTCTGCAGCTTCCAGTTGCCGTTGCATTTCGTCTAGCTGGCTCACATACTGATCACACCTGAGGGCAGAAAATGGAGGTGATAGGTTCAGGTACATGCCAAAAAACAATTCCACAAAATGCTTTGCAAGACTAATATCCAATGGCTCTTCAAGTGCCAGAAACAACATTAAAATCTCATGTTGAAACACATCTCAGATTGCCTTAAAACAAGGGAGAAAAGAAGATGTAAAGGAATATTCAGAAATTTCATGCCCAATCAAGTTTCAGAAGCCAGAGAGAGCAGAACATGATTTTCAGGACAAGGCTGCAGTATTGCTAGGAAGTTGGCCAATCCTCGTAACATATTATGTAGAATAAAAAGTTTAAGTAAAAGTGTTTTCATGTCTCAATATCTTGTGCATTTTTAAAGCATATACCCTAGCTGTTATGACTAAGGTACTTTGTTTCCTTCTGCTGCTCTACTTTAAAGGCTTACATGGCCTCTCCACTCATCAACAGACACATAAAAGCAACCTTTCTGGGCCACTGTAACTGCCCTTCAAAGTTTAAAAATGTTCTACTAAGGCCCTTGTTGCCTTTGGTGATCTTGTATACTATGCCAAGGAGGGCACTCAAAAGCAGGCATAGCCAGAAAAAACTGAGTAAAACAGGACAGAGCAGAAAATGAATACACATTGATATTAAATAAGTATGTGGCAAAAATAAATAAATATTCTGCTGGAGCCAACTAGGCAAGTCCAATGACTTGAAACCTTTGGTAGAATGTCACACTTGTATACTTGTCACCACTTCCATCCCCTTTAAAAAAATAGTTCTTAATATTGAAGATGAATGGTTAAAAACATTAATCTCATTGCAGTATTATATGAAGCATTTGGAAAAGATAAAAATATCTTTAAGACAAATGAATCATTTCCAAAATATTTCTGAAGTTTAACTTTATATAAAATTCATCCACTGGCCTTAGATACACACCACCACATATCTTTAACTTTTTTCCTAATTCTGTATTCAATAACTAAAGATTCTTTCATAGCAGTTTGCCACCAAAATTCAATGGTAAATCTTGCTATGAGAACGAAGAACGTGCAAATGAAGAACGAGATCCACCAAAGCTACTGGCTGTTCCATGTGGCTCCCAGTCACCCTATCCCTGCACTAGATTATGGAACAGTGGTAGCTATGGAAGAACTAATCCAATCCCACTTGGCTCTTTATTCTGAAAAAGCCCATTTCCTGCCTCACTGAGCAGACCCTGCTTCTAACCTGCTAGCAAACATGGCACGTAGGGAACAGAAAGTAGCAGCATCCTCCTTCAAGGCCTTGAGCTCGTGACGCAACTTGGACATGGTCTCTGACACCAGCACCTTTTCACCTTCGTACTGTCCTTTGAGATTTGAGAGGGCCGCCTCTGCTGTCTGCAAAGAAAGTTGCACACGCTCACACGATGTATAAATATCCTCCCCTTTCATTTCCATCATTTATAGAAAACCTACAGATTGAACACTTCCCCACATCCTCTAGGTCACCCTACAAATGCCACTCCAATCACAGCTGGATGTACCACTGCAGAAGTTTTCCTGGGAGGCTGAGTCTGTTAATAATGAACCCCTTGAAGGGCAACTGCACTGCTGGATTAAGAAGTTGGACTACATCTGCATAAAACCTTTTTGCAGAGAACAAATGACTTTGCCCATTTCCAAAATTATATTCTCGGACGCACTCATTCTTGCTTTTGTTGGCTTTAAAGTTAGGCAGGAAAATAAAATCTAATGTCCATACCCCAAACACAACCTAGTGTACTTGAAAACAGGATGACATCCTGAATTTCAGCAATAAAATGTAACAGAAGGGCTCAACAAGCACATGAGGGTCAGAGGAGATACTGGCAGATACAGCAGAGGGCTCCCAAATAAAAAAGAACAGGAGGGATACAATTACACCACCACCACCCAAATTTTATTGGCACAACTGGTAGAAGCTGAGGAATGCATTTTCTTAGGCTCTGGACAGACTGACATACTCCAGTGCAAATTATGGCATCAATATTTGAAGGCCTAAGGCCATAACTAGCACCCTACAACATTAAGTGTAGCTATGGACATGACCTCCTTAAGTGTGACTACTTTCCTGGGAAGGCCCACTTCGTGAGATGGGCGGTGTCTAAATTTGAAATATAAATAAATAATTAAATAATCCCTCTCATTTTGGTTTTCTAAGGTCTGATGACTTCCATTGGAAGCCCTATTTAGCTCTTTCAGAGGAATTATATTGTTTTTTAAAAAAATTGTTTCATAGAATATGAGGGAAGGTCTGTATCAAAATCAGTTAAAAATCATAATATAATGAAAGATAAGGATCTAGTTTTTCCATATTTATTTATTAAATTTCTATATCATTACAATACAGAAACAAATATAAAACATCCAGTAAGAAAGAAAACATCTACAGTACAAAAATAATCAAAATTCAAAGACAACTAATGTACAATTTAAAAATGGAGCAACACAATGCACAAGAATTCACAAGATGACAACGCATCCCTGGCTTGACACATTAGATGGTCATACCTTGAACCTCATGCTTGTTTCTGACCAGATAGCATGGAATCTGGAGATGGATGGGATTCCATCACCATGGTCAGATCATGCCCTGATCTAGACCTCCATGTAGCAGGGGGCTTATTCAGATGATCCACCAGTTGCCCAATGGATCCAATTGGTTTCCAGAGGATTTTCCCAGCTCCCTGGAAGACAGTTTGGTGTGCTACTGGAAACAGGAGGCAAGCTGAGTGTTTGAAATGATTGCCCCTGACCAGCCTTTTTCGGGGGGCTGATCCCATTTGGCACCATGGTTTATGGAGGCCCTTAGGTAAACGATAGAAACAATGCCTGGAATGCCAGTGGAAAAAGATGAAAAGCAAATCCGACTGAGCACAGGTACATATTTGTGTTTGGGCCTACACTATGCTTCTTGGCCTTTTGGCTAAGACAAAGTGTAGTATCTGTTCTTATGAGTCCTATGTTTGGGCCTACACTGTGATAAGGGAGGCAAAGCTTTCTCACTTTTCTCATATTGCATTTGTAGCCTACCATTTGACTTCCCTTCTTCGGGTTACACACCCCCTTTTGGGAGAAGTCAGTACTAAGATCTGCTTTGCCACTGTGACCAATCTGCACAGTATTTTGTTGAGAAAATCACTTGGATTCACCAAAGCCTTGAGTCCTCATGGGCAATCTTTATTGGTGACTATTGCATTGTCTTGCTGTATTATCTAGGATACCTTTTGGCCTGGGAACTCTGAGGAACTGGACAGGGCACTATTTAGACTGTGCATTGCCACTTCTAGCTTGGATCCTCACTGATCCTGCCTTTTGAGAGGAGTAGGCAGAGGTGTGACCACCTGGGTCTAGGAGACTGTCAATGTCTTGAGGAAATGGAGTTGCCCACAGTCTTGATGGAGGCTGTGGTGCACTCTCTTCTGAACAGGCTGGTCCTGGATCCAATGGTCTTAGATAACTATTGGCCAGTCTTCAAAAAGGGAAGATTGGTGATATATATATTTATATTTCAAATTTGGTCACTGCCCATCTCATGAGGAATGGTGGCAGTAGACCAGTTATGCAGCACCCAAGAAACAATGAATTATCTGGACCCTCTTCAGTTATGGTTGAGGCCCAGGTATGGAATTGAAACAGTATTGGTTGTTCTCCTGGATGACCTATGTTGGAACTAGATGAGGGTAGTGTACCTCTCTTGGTCCTTCTGAACCTCTCAGCAACTTTCAATACCACTGACCATGGAATTCACTGAACTGCCTGCAGAGGTTGTGGGAGCTGTTTTACAATGGTTATGCTCCTTCCTCAACAGGTGAGTTATGTCTACAGTGATGGGGGATGAAAGGATGGCTTAGAGCAGGGGTCAGCAGGCTATGGCTCATGGGCCAAATCCAGCCTGCTGCCTGTTTTTATATGGCCTGCAAGCTAAGAATGAATAGGTGGGCAGCAGATCACTAGGCCTGAACCTCAGCCAAGCTCCCAGGGTGAAGAGCGGGTCTGGGGCAGTGTGGCTCAGCACCTCCTTGTTGATGGATCAAGGCTGTCCAATGGCTTCCACAGTCTTTACTCTGCAGACCTGCCAGCCCTACCTACAGAGGTGGAGAAGGGCTGGGATCTGGCCCTTTACAGAAAAGGTTTGCCAGGCCCTGGCCTAGAGGATAACATTCTTCCTACAGCCTAAATTTGCAGTGTAAACCTGGGTATCTTGTGTCATCCCTACTCTGTCAGATGACTTCTCCCAGTGGCTTCATACAGATGTTAAAGAACATGGGAGTGGATGCTCCCAAACCTGACTCTCAGGACAACATTCCATTCTGCTAGCCCAAGGCAGATCTGCATTGCACCTAGGACTTCCTGCACTCACCTGCTTGTTGGCCTTAAGCACTGTGCGCAGTGTAGCAATCTGTTCACGCTTTGTACTCAACAAGGACTTCAGTTTCAGCACCTCCTCCACCAGAACTTCTTTATCGCGTTCCAGTTCATCTCTGTGCCCCATTGGGCTCTGCTGAAGTGCACTGGACAGTGCCACCTGCAGATGCCCCAGCTGTTCTCGCAAGATCTCTGTCAGATTGGCAACATGAAGAGGCTCCAAATTGCATGGGGAGCCCGGGCTACTGGCTGGTGACTTGTCTCCACTGCTACTTGTCTCTATTTCTGTGAATATATGTTTCCTGGAGGATTGCCTCCTGCGCACATTTTGGACACCACGGCCCTCCCTGTAATAGTCCAACACCACACGCTGAGGGGTTATGTTGTGGCAGGCACAGATGTGATGGTACAGAGCTGCCATCTCCTCAGAAAAAATTAGGAGCTCCTCCTGAGCCTGAGCCAGCCGTGACTGACACTCTCTGGTCATCCGTCTAGCAATTCTCAGCTCAGCTTCTAAGTGAGCAGCTGCCTCCCTCTCTTGCCGGATTGCCAGTTGGGCCCTGTCCAACTCCTCATGGTAGTATTCCCTATTATTGGGTGACAGGCTAGCCCCACCATTATTAGCACTAGGGTTAGCCTCCAGGGCTGGAAGCTGATCTACTTGATGGCTGTTGCAGAACTGCTGCTGGGCCAAAATCTCCTTAGTCCTGGTCAGCTGCTTCTTGAGATCTTGCAAATCTGAGGCTAGTGAAGCCTTTTCCTTTTCTGCCTATGGGAACAAAGACAAGATAGGACAGAATTTCCTATGGCAAGATATTAGTTGGGTTTACATATTATACTATGTGATAAAAACAATTTATTCAATAAGAAACATTGGTTAGATGCATACATCACAGCAGACCATAAACCATGGTTTAACAAGCCACCATAATTGGCTTCATCCAACACATTAAGTTAGAATAAAACAAACCACATCTTGCCTTAATGCAATATATGACTGCAGAGAGTTAGGGACAGGCGATCTATCCATATCCTGAATCCCAGATTAGCCCAGAAGTTCCATCTACTCAAAAAGGTTTTTTGCTTAGAATATCACTATGTAAATTGAAAACCTAAGCCTTAATACTTAAAATAGGATTGAGATCAAGTTCCACAGCAGTTTGTAAGAGGGACAGAGAAAGGCTTTGAACTTCAGGCTGGCTCAGTTGGGAGGATGTCTTCTACAAATGTAATAAATAAATTAGAAAACAGATACCAAACATTGCCCCGATTTCATGGCCCCTTACTGAGATCAAGGCCATTTGCTTCTATGCTTAAGCTCTGGCCCATCATGAGACAGAAAGGACAGGCTCTCCCACCTCCTTCACGGTGCCTGCCACTGCCAGGTTCCAAATTTCCATCTGGGTTTCCCAGAGCCAGTTGTTAACACAGATAGAAAAGTGCTGAGTTTCAGGGCATTGATATGCCATCAAGGATTAGCTTTCACCACAAGACAAAGGTAGAGGTGCTGTGGTAAGCTGGAGATGAGCTCCCTGACACAGATGTCTTTGCTAAACTAGATACACTATTAAATGGGAAGAGTGTGAGAAACATATTCAGAAGGAATGGAAGTGGAACACGTTCTCTCAAGAACCTGCTTCTCCAGCAGAACAGGGTTTGGCACAAGAACGCTGCCAGAAGGGGCAACAACTAATATCCTAAAAACTCACAGCCAGAATCGCTCCTTGCATTCAGTGCCAACGTATGGTACCAAGGAGTAATTCTCATCTTTAAATGCATGATTAGAAGGTTTTAAATGTCTCTAGCCTTTTATTGGCTCTTCTGACCTTTGATCTCCCTGAAGGAGTTTTGTGACATGTTAAGCTTTGATGAGTTAGAATTAATATTGCAGGACTTATTATTCTAGTCTCACTGCAACCCACTAATTGCACATTAGCACCTGCATCCTTTGCCTGTAATTCTAAGTGATATTATTAGATACTGGAGTAAATCCTTAGTACTGCAGCCAGGGAGATCAAAAGTCCACAAACTTCATTTGCAGAGGCAATAGTCCTGCTGGAAAGATATGTTTTCCCATCATCTCAACCCTTCATTAAGAGGACACATTCCGAATAATCAGACAGGGATTATGTATGTTCCCAGAAGCTCCCTGCCTGTACTAGAGAGTTTTGTTTTATGGGGGTGGGGTTTGGGGTATCAAGCTGTTTTGCGTATCACATCAAAACAAAAATCCCTTGACATTCAAATCTGCCAGGCCTGACAAAAATTTGGCTAGAATGTCCTCCCTATTATTCTAGTTTATTCCCTACACATACACTGAACATTCAAAAAAGGTTTAATTCACTTGAAGTGGTATATCTAAATGAACACTGCTGGTCTTCAGTAGCTCCTTGGCTATGGAAACAAATCCACTTACTCCTCTGTTCAGTAAGAATGCAATCAGTGTTGTGAACCATCTCCGTCAAATCCAATTTCCCCATTCTCCACCCCTACCCAAGGCTTTACTTTTCTTACCTGTAGGAGCTGCTGCTGTAGCTTGTGAATCTCTGCCAAGCTGAGTTCACTGAAGAGGTCTGCAACAAGACCAGGTGCAGGCTGCAAGCTGTGGGGTGTGGATGTCAGGCCCCCTACATTGCTACCATTGGCAAAACCACTGTCTTGCTCCTCACACTCTGTGTGACTGTGGCTGAGCTCCTCCATGTTGGTCTGCAAGCTGTTCAGGGAATCGTGACGCCCCCCAACATAGATGGCTAGTTCCCGCCGCAGTTCCTGCTTTTGCTCACGCTCAGCCTGGACAGTCTCAAGGGCCTCCTGAAGTTGGTGTTCTGCCAAATCCCGAAGACGACCCAGTTCTTGCAGCTGGGACCCAGCCAGCATGAGCTCTTCCTCACGGCACTTCAGGGCACGCTTGATACTCTCAAATTCCACCTTAGGATGAAACAGTGACTTAGCACTGGCACTGCAACCTGTATTTCATTTGACACTTTAAAGTCTAGCATTTCTTTTCATTCATATGTTACTTGGACTAACAAGTAATTTCTTCATCTATGCCTTCTTTCTGTGCCAATAATACCATTCTTTGATGTCTACTGCTGAGGCCTCACTTCATTTAAAAAATGTCAACCATCTAGTTGCAGTACCTCTTGTGTACTTAGCTTCCTCAAGGAATTCACTGCCTGGCCCATTCTTAGTAGCAGGACAAAATATTTTAACTCAGTGCCTTTCTAATAGTCAAAGTTTAACTTGAAAAGGTGGATGAGGGAGATGAGGTTACCAATGAAAAATCTAATAAAAATATACTGAATGGGTTCGTTTGGGTCTTGCAAATATTTATTCTATGATATACACAAGGGAAAAATGCATATTCTATTCTAATAACAATCATGATTGTTCTAATTTGTCTGCAATGTAAGTCTGTTGATAAACACTGTAGGGATTTCTGTATTGTTGGAAAACTCCATACAGAGAAAGATTAGTTTAAGTTCCTGTATCATAAAACTAGATGCAAAGTAACACAGGCCAACGAGAGATGGAGGCAGGTAAGTGTTAACTGAAGGAAAGATCAGAAAACAAGATGGTGAAGGGCTGCTAGTCTGCTCAAGCACTATTTGCATTTTTCAATGAGGGAAAAGGTAGATTTTCAAAATACGTTCTGAAAATTTTAATTGCTAAACTCTCTCAACAATTTTAACACCTTCTCTTCATATACATAGAAGCTTTCAAGAGCTTTAACCCTTTGCAGTTAAGAAGCATCCTCCAGAATTTTGTTAAGAGCCTCTCTTCCATATCCAACTGCACTCACAGCTCTTAAGCCAATTTTCTCTCACTGACACCCTACTGATATGTAGAGCAGCTCCCAAAATTCCCCAGCTAGCACGAACATTACTGAGAATTGTGGGAGCTGAAGTGCACATACCCAGAATTTGCCAGTTACAATATACTGTCTTAGACAAAAAGGAAATAAATCTTCCAACACCACCAAATACTCTTAAAGGGAGGTTTATCCCCCGCACCCTGCACTCCCATATACAATTATCCACTAAGTGTCTAGGGACTACAACTCCTAAAATTACTAACCACCATGGCATTTAGGAATTGTATTCCCCACACACCTGGACAGCACAGACTGGGGAAGGTTGACTTACACCTTCTCTCTGTCTTGTACTATTCAAGTAAAGAACTAGCTGCATCACTTCCTACTCACTGATGCCCAGCTTCTGCACAAGCAGCCAAGTCCTCCACTATTTATTTCTACTCATCCCTTTCCCCATATTAATCCTTGTAGGCTCCCAACCTGTATGAAAATAGCCAGTCAGTCTCCATGCACAGAAAAATGTATGAGTCCACTGTCTCTCTCCAACTATATGCCAGCTCAGGGCAACAAGGATAATATTGCTAATGAAATCACATACCTAGCAAACAGTTGTAGACAACTGAAGTAGTATCCTCAGAATATAGGAGTTAAGCACCGAATAACCTGTTTCACATCAAATCAAAAGGAGACCAAGTCCTAAATAGATATAATGGAAGGTACACACATACATACAGATGAGGTTAGTGCCAGGTGCACCACAGTGTGGACATCTTTATACCTGACTTCCTCTGAGGATGGAGACCTGTTTCTGCAGGGAGATGTTCTCTTCCTCAAGCTCTCCACAGTCCTGCAACTGGCGGAGCTCCCGTGACTTGGCTTGTTTCATCTCCTCACGTAATCGATTTTTTTCGGACTCCAGGGTCTGGCACTCCTGGAAAGGAATTATGAGAAGGGTACGGTAAAGCCATTCCTTTCTTAAAACAGAAACAGAACTAGCCCCAAAGCAATTTTACCCTGCCCATTATGTTTTAACAAAGTATTCATCTAAGCAAGGTAAAAAGTTTCCCCTAAAAATAAGTTTTGAATGTTATCCCTTAGGATTTGAGATACAGCAGTCTAACTATGTAATTTTTATGATAACTGTTGGCTGCCTATATGTATAATTTGTAATGGTTTTAATGGTTTTAATTACTGAAATTGTCCGCTGCCAGAGTCACCTGGATTGAGATGGGCAGCTATAGAAATTGCATAAACAAACAAACAAACAAACTGGACCTAACCATACATCATCTACCATTGTGAAGCCTTGCTCTTTATGTGAGGAGCATATAAAAGAAAGGGGTAAGGGCAACAAATATAGCAGCACACTTGATTGGTCTCTGAAACGGACAGAAAGAGGCATTAACAAGGAAGGGAATACCATGGAGGGAGCATACCCCAACATGATAGGAAAAGTCACCCCCACCTCTTCCTGGTTCACAGAACACAGTTATTACATTTTTCAGAAGACAAATTTTGGCTACATTAACTGTCAAGGAAGAATTCAGTAGTCACAAGAATATTAACTTCCCAAAAGAAGGTCAAACACTTATCTCCAACTTGTTGCTACAGAGACATTTTTGAGCATCTCAGAAATACAGTGGTGGACCCAGAATTCACTCCAGCTCCAAGACTGAAAAAGAGTCAGAAATAGTCTGCTGCACTGCACTTTTGAGACACCAGAAGTACCTCCAGAATTACTATCCACAGCTACTCTGAGTCATGCAGATGGAAACCACAGTACAACTGTAGGGATAAAATATATTTCAATCACTTGGGACACCAGACTAAAGTAACATGGTCTCCTCTTGAAAGTGTTTTCTGCAGAATTGTTACGATTTTTCTACTCTTCAAAGGATTTCCCAAGTACAAGCTTAAATGCTTGGATTATTCCCCATATTGCTCCCCAGCATTAAGTCTGAAAGGCCGTGGGAAGAGATGGTTGAATCACTTTTTCCTGAATAAGCAGAACATTACACTAGTATATTTGTAAATCCTAGAACCCCAAGAATAGGGCTCAAAGTCCAGTTTAAACATAAGAATATTCAAGTCTTGATGGCTACAGAACTTCTAAAGCACATGGACAGTAACTGGTCAAATTTCAAGACAAATAAAAAACTGAACCAGTAATGAGATTCTCAGCTACAATACCTTCCAACTTGTGCCCATATTTCAATCCCCTTCTTCCTGGCTAAGAGTACCAGAGCAGAGGCTTCTGAGCATAACTATCTTAAACTGGGAGCTGCCTGAATTACCTTCCTTAAGTCTCGCAGAGCCACACTGAGCCGCTCATTTTCCACCCCAGTATTGTCAAGCTGGGATTTCAGGAATTTCACATCACTTTGGAGCTCCTCAATGGTTTGAGTCAGATGGGCCTCTTTGGAAGCCGATTCCCTGAGCAGACATTCTTCTCGGTTCTCCCCATCAGCTGCTGCTCGCTTATGACTGCTATGAGACTCTGCTAAAGCCTAAGGGAAAGAAGATGGAAGACATTCTAAGAAACAGCATCCTTAGTGTCCAAGACAGGTCATACTAAAGGAATCCTGGTTCAAGGCAGAGTCGTGAAATTGTTCGCATACCTCCTTCATGTGGGCCAATTCTGCACGTAGCTCCTCTAGTTGACCTTCCAGATCTCCACAGCGCTGCTTGAGCTCATCATTTTCCTCCAGCACAGCCAGCCCATACTGGGCTGCCTGGACGTTTTCTTGGGTTGCCTCCTGCAGCTCAGCCGCTAGTCGCTCTACCTCTGCTTGCAGCTTTGCAGGATCCTGGGCCATGAGAGCTTCTGGCATGCTATACCTAATGATAAATAAAAATGTGGTAGGAGATTGGGAATAATTACTGCAAGAAAGATAGAAAGAAGAAGAGGTTTATCCAGTCATCAGAATTACCAATCAGTCCCCTTTAATTTCAAGAATAGGATCCCTTATATAGCCCAAATCATGGTTCATATTTATACTCTATTTATAGCTCTACCCTAGTGGTCCTTAGAGCTAAGTGACCAGGTTTTCCATGTAAGACTAAGTCACTTATTATATTGCCTAAGGTGGGCAACTTGTGAACCAGTGGTGTACATGGCCTTTGAAACTAATTACTGCCATGATTTGTGAACACTAACAATGCAGTAGTCGGGGGGAAAAACCTACAGTATAAGTCCTAAAATAGTCATATTTAGTCCTTCATCCATTCTTACCCACTGTATGATGCAGTCCCTCCCATTTTGTAGTACTTAGCCATTTCAATAAATGTTAAGTAGAGCCCTTGGCTACCAAAAGTTTGTCCAATCTCAATACAGTCCTAAAAAACAGGAATATGTATCTGGATAAACTAAATTTTATTTGTAGGTTTGTCTAACAAAGGGTACAAGGCCTGACTTACCACATACCAAGCACATCAAGATAAAGGAATGGCAGAACTTAGATCAGCAGGGAGGTAAAGAGTTTAAGAAGATACAAGTTAATAAAGGAGCGTATTTGTCCCTGGCAAAAAAATCAATCAAATCCCACATGGAGCTGGGGAGTTATTACTCTGGGAGGCACAGTAGTTAATATGATCACTTTTGAGAACAAGGCATTAAATGTTATATCAACAAGCAACACAATTTCTAAGTCCATTAAATACATAGTCCTCGCTTAACTATGGTAATTGGGACCAAAATTGCTGTCGCTAAGCAATGCAGTTGTAAAGCATGTTGTCACGTGGCCGCATCGCTTAGTGAGGGCAATCCTAACAGTCCCTGTTCCCATAGTTAAGCAAGGATTGCAAATCGTTAAGTGAGGATCATGAGTCATTAAGTGAGGACCTCCTCGCAACTTCCTGCTGGAAGTTGTTGCTTTCCAACAAGCAAAGTCAGTGGGGAAGCCAGCAGGAAGTTGCAAGTCCCAGGTGCTTGCAGGCAGGCCAACAGGCAGGTAAATGCCTGCTGCTGGGTGGGGGAGGGTGCGCAGGTGACTGGCAAGGTGTGGGTGGCTGCTGCCAGGTGGGGGAGGGTCCATGGGTGGCCACTGAGATGCGGCTGGGGTGGTGGCTACTGGGTTAGGGAGGGTATGCAGGTAGACAGCGAGGCACAGCACAAGAGTGGCTAGGCCAGGGGTGGCTGCTGCCAGACAGGGGAGACTTACTGAAGTGACTTGTGACTTTCCCTGCTGGGTTCCTCATTGACTTTGCTTGTGGGAAGCTGGCAGGGAAGGCTGCAAATGGTGATCACGTGATTGCAGGACGCTAGAACTGTTGTGTGAGCCGGTTGCCAAGTGCCAAGATCACAATCACAGAACTTCAAAGACCAGTCTTAAGTACCACTCATTCAGCACCATCATAATTTTGGATGGTCACTGAACAAGCAGTTGTTAACTGAGGACTACCTATATAAAGGTTTTATAGGATATTTTCCTATCCCAGTGCCTAGAGACTGGGGATCTAGATGGAGAACAGGCTTTAACCGAACCCTGGTAAGACTGAGAAGCTCTGGGTTCTGGGGCCTTCTGAATCTGAGACTATACCATCTCTGGTCCTGAATGGGGTTGCACTGCCCCAGACAGACCTACTGCACAGCTTGGGGTTCTTCCTGGACTCGTGACTCCTGCTCAGAGCAGGTGGTGGTTGTGGCTAGGAGGGCCTTTTCACAGCTTTGTGTTGTGCACCAGTAACACCTGTTCCTGGATCGGGAGGCTCTGCTCACAGTCATTCATGCTCTGGTCACCTCCCAGGTGGACTATTGTAATGTGCTCTACGTGGGGCTGCCCTTGAAGAATATCTGGAAGTTTCAGTTGGTGCAAAATGCAGTGGTGTGGGCAGTTATGTGTGTCCCTAGAATGGCATACATTACACCTCTGCTCCGCAAGCTGCATTGGTTGCCAGTCTGCTTCTGGGTCCAATTCAAGGTGCTGTGTTGTTTTTTTTTATAAGAACTTTAGTAAGTTATAAAAAGCATAAAGATAAAAGCAAACAAGAACTAATAATCAAAGAGAGAAGCAGAGAACAAGAGAGTTAGAAATAAAGAATACGAAAGTGATGGAAGGTGAAGAAAAGGGAAGAAAAAATTACAAAAAGAATGACTTCTGACTTCTTATACAGCAGATATAGATAAATCATATAATAGCCTCTTATTCTAATACTACTCGAGGTGCTGGTTTTGACTTTTAAAGCCCTTCATGGCATGGGGCTGGATTATTTGAGGTACCACCTCTTCCCGATTACTTCTGCCTGTCTCATCAGGTCTGGCAGAAGAGGTATGCTCCGGGTCCCGTCTGCTAAGGAACTATGTCTAGCAGGACCCAGGAGATGGACTTTTTCTGCTGTGGAACCCACCCTGTGGAACATCATTCCCCTCAAGGTGAGACTGGCCCCATCCTTGATGTCCTTCCAGAAGTCCCTTAAAACCTGGTTATGTCAATAGGCTTGGGGATCTCACAGGAATGAGGATTTAATGAGGTGGTTACGTTGTGTGTAACAACTAATGTTTTCCTTAATCCTTGTTTATTTTTTTTAAAAAATAACTTTTAGATTTAAGATAAAGAGATAAAAACTAACAAGAACTAATAAGATATAAAGGAGAGGAGAGAAAAAAGTAAAGCATGAAAAAACAAAGTCAAAAGTGCAGAAAGAAAAATACAAAAGAAAAATTACTTCCGACTTTCTTTTACAACAGATGTAAGTACCTGTATAAATTTGTTTTAAACTCTTACTCTAAGTTTACAACACAATTTTCAATTTTTCTATTGTCTACTATTATTTCTAATTGTTAAATCCATTTATCATGATTTCACTTTTCTGTTTCATAAAAAAAGTCCAAAAGGGGCTTCCAATTATTTATTTTATTTATTTATTTATTTAT